TAGTTAACATGGCAAAATCATCATTCAAATCCTAGAGAATGTTCCCAGAAAATAGTGAAAAATTAGATGTTTTAAAAATTCTTGTTTTATTATGGCCATCAGTTAAAAAACCTCAAATATATTCACTCTCATATCAAATTTTCAAATTTAAGAAGCTGGAACCATCAAATGTTTGCCCTTTGTTTGGCTGGAGAAATGAATAAAATAATTAATTGGTTTGTCAGTTGACAGAAAATGATTTGACCAAATAACAGTGGGACACATTTTCTGTTGCATAAATAAATGTTATTTCTTATTTTTCCACATGATACTGTAACTGTGCACAGACTGTTCTGCTGGAAATCCGTTTTCACTCTAGTCTTTGTTGCATGGCTCTTACTTTTATGTTGAGTTATTTACAGAAATATGTATCATTAACACCTCAACAAGTTCATATAACCTACTTGGCAAGAGGACATTTAGAGTCAACATCTGTACAAACAGGTTGCTATTTTCTGTATTTTAAATCTTTATTCATCTACAAATACAAATATGCATCTGTTTATCACTTCCTTAAATTCTTATACTTGAATTTTATGAGTGGAACACATGAGTGAACATGTTTAACTGTACAAGGAAAATGAGCATATGTTCATAAACACATGGAACATAGCGATCAACCTTTTGAAGTGTTTTTGTGTGTAATGCTGTGCCCCTTTCACCTCATTGCCATCCCGGTTTAATAGTGTTTAATACAGCATCGTTGCGTGCCTGTGAAGTTCCACTTTGCATGCATTAGCAGAACAAGAGAGTGTGAGACTTATCTTGTACGATAAGCATTGCACTGCAAAGCGGCCAGATGTTAAATCCCAAATAATTCGCCCTAGATTTTAACTCTTGCATTTATCTCTCTGCCAAATCTGGCTCTGCTTTGTGGCTTCAAGATGTAGTCTTTCATTTCCAGAAGTGGGGGTGTTTATGTGCTAGTACAAATGACCTATGGTTTTGCAAGCTTTAGCATGTGTGAGTGTGTATATGAAGACGTCTCGTGTTTCTTGTGGGAACTCCTTGCAGAAAGCCGCACTGAGTGACGATTCTGGGCTCTCAGTTGCTGACGATTATAAAAAGTGAAACGTGAGCGCATTCCTCAGGGCCAAGGTAGAGCTGTGTGGCTACACAGCTGAGGGCTCATTGAAAGATGAGCGCTTAGCAGGAAATTAGCCTACAGTTGGATCCAGAGGGGTCACAACGACACAGATGCACACACATAAATGCATGCTCGTGGACTGCACAGGCGTCCCCTTTCTCTATGCACTTCCCCCCACTCATAAAATTATCTCTTTTTTTTTTTTTAATCATCACATTAGTCCCATCATTGTGTCCAGGCAATAAGTCACAGTTGACTGCTGAATCCTATCAGGACCAGGCCTTTGTGCTCAGTCCTACTATGAGTCTAAGCTGAGCAGTCTCTGACTTGAAAAGTTGTACAACTGTGCTGCGCTCAGGCATTGCGTGCCCCAGATTTGGGGTGGGAGTGGTGTTGTGAGGCTGTGAGAGAGCGACAGCTGACTAGCTGGGTCCTGAGAGGAGGAGGAGGAGAGAGAGAGGAGGAGGAGGAGGAGGAGGAGGAGGGGGTGGGGGGGTCAAGTTAGTCAGCGTCCACTGTTGGGATCCCAGGGGAAACTGAGCCAGAAGAGAAGGGACTACAGTTGCAGCTGTTGTTGCTCACACACACACACACACACACACACACACACACACACACACACACACACACACACACTACTACTACAAACATCTAGATTATTCTTAGCTCATTGCAAAATGAACCTGTTGTCTTTTTTGACCTAGAGTCCTCACGGACCTGTTAATACGGTGTTATGTAAAGTTGTAAAATAAGAATATTGACAAGTTGTATTTTACTGTGGAGAAAACTGTTGCACTTCACTTTCATAGACATGACACATTAACAGAGGGAAGTGATGGCATTTCCTTCAGGAATTAGAGCTTCAACTAACATTTACAAAAGAAAAAGATTAATGTGTAATGTGATTTTTTTTTTTTTAATTATTTTTTTTAATTAACTTATTAATCATATAGTAAAATGTCAGAAAATAGTGAAAGTGCCAGTATAATTTCCCTGAGCCCCGGCAACATCTTCTAATGGCTTCTTTTTTTCCCAAATAAACCGTCTAAAGTCAAGACTCTATTATGAAAATAGGATTAATGGTCTCATCACTGTTGGAGCCAGAGAATATGATGTTGGAGAGTGATTTCTACACTACAGCAGAGAGATTTTATAAAAGACTTGGACCTCTGCTGAAGGTATTACTTGCTTTACTTGGACAAAGTGCTCCGGGACAGAAAGATGAGCTGATTGATGTGGTCTGATGTGGTCTGATGTGTGTCTCATAAAAAGCGTCTCAGGGATTGAGTGTCATGAAGTGCCTGTGATGAACTGCAGGGCTGCAGAGTTCACGTTGCTTTTGTTTATTTATTGAAGACACTGATGGAGTTGTGGTACAGATTTAGAATCAATTTAGTGCACAGTTGATGCACAGGCAGTGAGTGACTTGCCGGCTTTGCCCTCAATGAACCTGTTAGTCATGCAGCAGCACTTTACTGTAGTCAGGATGCAGAGCAGAGAAACAAATCACACTAAGAGCTACGAGCCATGAAAGCAAAGGCTTGATGCTGGGGTCTGATGTTTTTCTTTTCTATATCAACCATTTTGATATTCAATATTTTGTTATTATGTGCTGCACCAGATTAGATAACCAATATAGGCTATAATGTATTAGTTGGTGAGCTTCTCCTCTTTCTTAGTCTTTATGCTAAGCTAACTGCCTGCTAGGGGTATCAATCTTGGTAAGGAAGTGATTAAGTGTATTTCCAAAAATATCAAACAATTCCTTTTAAATCATTGCACAGCATTTACGAAAAACATTGTATTTTATTAAATTCCAAAATGAATGATTCCAAGCAAACGGTAACTGAATTGGGTTTTTTTGTTTCGCACTTGTGATGAGCTTCGCCAGATGTTGTGAAAAATATATCACTGTTGACTGCATTGAACATTTTGTTATGTGATATTGCATATATCAAGAGAATATTTTAATTGATATTGTGATATTGATTTCAACCATATTTAGCCAGATGCCATTTACCAGATGCTTGCTGGAAGGTTACAGCTCCACACTAGAACAACTAACAAGTTGTTTCACATACCAAGTAACATATTAACCAATTCATGCACGAAACTGAAGTCAAGACACAGAGTGACATTTCTTTCTGAAAACAGATTTAATTTACAAAGAGTCAGTGACAGTTTTACAGTGCACATGACACAGAATCACTACTGAAGGTTCGCAGAACCCCGATGAAAAATATCAACAGTGCTGAAAATTACACTTAGACAACTGTAAATAGGAAGAAATAAATGTTACATTTACATACACGTACTGTGTGATATGACATCTCAGACTGTAGACCGTCTGTGTGTGTGTGTGTGTGTGTGTTGGACCCTCTGTGTGTGTGTGTGTGTGTGTGTGTGTGTGTGTGTGTGTGGTACGTATTGACCTGAATACTGAGACAACACCATATGGATCGGGTGGCCAAGACACTCAAAAGACCTAAGGCCTAATCCCTGCTGGCTAAGTTGATTGGTCTGGTATCACATTTAAAACTGAGTGAAATTGACAGTTTTTTTTGAACAATAAGTTAGAGTATCAGATTGTCGTTGCATAACAGTGATCCACTATAAAAACGAACAAGTGTTTTGTGTCAGAGCGGGCAGTGTCATCTGTAATCCTGAGGGAATCCTGATATTTCTATGAATTTGTGAAGGAAGCTGTAGTTTGTTCTTATCTGCTGTGATGCTGCTTGAAATGACAAAGACTGTAATGGTTTATTGTGATAAAAGAGAATAGATACTGTAGGTTAAAGACTGACTCATCAATTTTATGGTTTAAGTACAAGTGAGTAGCTTTGTTTACATGTAATGGTAAGAACTGTAATATTACTGTTACATATTTATCTGTGTGCAGAGTCATGAAAATCATGCGGTGGGATATCAGAGTAAATGTCTGTTATTGCTTCAGTTTGCTTGATGGCAAATATGTACAATGATCTGTACATTTATTCTGTCAACTTGATCCCGTCTGATAGAGATTATGGGTCTTTACCTCCACTCTCTTCACTGTCTTGTCACTGCAATGTGTTCACCTTTGTATATACACTATGTAACACAATCATCATAATTCAGTTCGTCTACAAAGCTTTGGGATTAACTGGGCCGTTTTGCATCTTCTCCGAGCTTGTGGTGAACAAGCTTTACATAACGTCCGGGTACCAGATGGCAGTCAGTCAGTCAGTCAGTACTCCTGGTTGGCTGTGCCATCTTTACCCCCTCCTCTCTCTCTCTCTCTCTCTCTCTCTCTCTCTCTCTCTCTCTCTCTCTGCTTAACAACCCAGGAGGGCTGACAGTTGACTCAACATGTGCCATGTCTACATTGCAGAGAGAAAAACAAGAGTTTCTAACATGACAGCAAGCACAACATCGCTGATCACGAGGGACATATCTCAAAGTTTAATGTGCCCTCTTTTGGACTAGTCATGCACTGTATTGCTGTTAATTATTACTAGATGAAATGCGATGAGGAGACTTGTCTAAACTGTATATAAATCCCATTTAAATGTGGCAGTGTCTCAGAGTTTCCTCCTGTGTTGCATTCATTCCCTGAGCGAGGTGAATGAGGCCGATGGGTTCAATTAAACCTGAGTTTCCGGTGTTGGAAACAAAAGGGAGCTTATGACTGTGTTTAGTGGCAGTGCATTCGGTAACAGCTGTTTGTAGCATCACTTATAAAAACGGTAACCATGCAATCCAACAGTTGGGATTTCTATTCATAGATGCAAAGAAGTGAGATATGAGAGTATGTCCTGTAGCATAGAGGTGAAAAAGCCTGTGCATGTTTTTTATAAAGAGCTGCAATGGTGGTGACATTCTGAGAAATGTGTCCTTTTTTTTTTTTTTTAAGTACCGTCTTTTAAGACAACCAGAGAAACCAGTCATACATGCATACACGCATAAAGACATTAGAATAATACAAAAACCTGCAGCATAAATCCTCAAAAAAACTCTCTCTTTAACTATGTCTCAGACACTCTCCAGCACACACTCACAAGCCCAGACACACACGGCAAACAAGGTTTCGGTTTCTAGGATTGTCAGACAAAATGTTGCCCTGATAATCTCTCAGTCGCAGGAGAATCGTGTTGCGGGTGTATCGGTTCATTTTTGGAAGATAACTGTATCCAAGCCTCTCAGTCATTCGTTCGTGCATTCATTCATTCACTCCCCTCCAAATCCCCCAGCACCTGTCACTCACTCAGTCTGGCATCACTGGCGGGCTGTTGGCCTGAGACTCACTGTCAGACCCACACAGCTGTGTTGTAGTCAAACAAGGGCTGCATTTTCTCCAGACCAGTCTCTGGCTGTCTCCTGTCTAAATAAATCCCTGCAAATGGTTGCTGGTGGAACTGGGGGAAGTTTTGCTGATGGTGTTGATGGTGCTGTTGGTTCCTTTCTGCTTCAGATAGACACGGCCTGCCTTTGCCCTGCTGTCCATTTGCCCAGAATGGCAGGTAGAAGCTGCCCTTTGAACTTTTAGGAACCAGTTTCTTGGGCCTTTTGAAGAGGTCGCCCTCTGGCAGCTCAGGAGCCATCCAACCGGGCCTCTCCTTGAGCAGCTTGTCCCTGTCGGGCCGGACGCTGCGCAGGAACTTCTTGAAGATGTTTGTGGTCAGCGAGAACTTCCTGCAGATCTCCTGTGAGCGGCTGAGACGGAGAGGGTGAGCTGGGGTGTCCGGTCTGTCCACTCCTCCATCTGCCATCCTCTCCTCTCTCCTCTTCCTCCTCTCCTCTTCTTCCACCTCCTCCCTCTCTACCTCGGGCAGGTCCAGCCAGTTGCCCACCAGGTCGGCGAAGACGTTGTCGCCCAGTACCAAGGGTTGACGGTTGCGGCTGCGACTCATGAGTGAAGAGGTCCAGTCGCTTGCGTCATCTGTGCTGTCCTGGGAGTAGTCGCTGTCCAGTGAAGGACCCTCTCTGGAGAGGCTATACAGGATGCCAGGCAGGTCCACCACCTGAGCACGGTGGGGGGCCTGCGTCTGAGGGTAGGGCTCCGGTGGAGGGTTTCCCACCATTGGTCCATAGAAGTCCACCTGAGGGGCGGTGTATCCTGACCACCTCCTGGGTATTGACTCAAGGTCGTTCTCACTTCTTGCAGTTCTTGAGGTCCCTTCGCTCTCACTCTCCAGACTGGACGCCGAGGAAGACGAGGTTCTCAGGCTGCTTCTGTTTCGAGATGGGCTGTTGTCATCTCGGCTGAAGGTGTTTCTACTCGCCAAAGACGGCTGTGGACTTGACATTGGGCTCGGACTGGGTTCCACTGGCAGGATTTGGTTAAAGCAGGACCCGTGATCCTTTTCTGAAGCTGAAGCTGCTGCAGCTGCTGATGCGTCCGGAGGAGCTGGCGTAGCAGGATGTGGGATCCCTCGGTTAATGGGCCGACCTGAAATGTCAAGGTTTTCTAGCGCTGTCTGAACCTGAAGGAGCTTGAGTTCCTGGAGGGCTCCCATCATTGAATTCATCTGAGCGTGGAGGCCATCCCCGGCTTCTTTCATAGACAGCTGCAGGGAGACAGAGAAAACAATAAAGAGATGAAGATGAGTCAGAAATCAGCAAATGTCCAGTTCTGCTTAACGGCAACATAATTTCATTCATTTCACTCTTGCAGCTCCCATCTCATCCATCAAAGACTGATTTCCTCACTGTCCCCTCCTCTTGTTCATCATTTAGCTCAGCACCAGCACAAATCCAAATTACACACCATCAACTGACGGTATCAGAAGCATTAAATATATCTATCACATCACAATAATAGACCTGCTTTTTGTCTCTGTGTCGGTGAGACTTTGTGCTCTTCTCTTGTGCGTTTCAGGCTGCGCACCTTGTTTGATTATGGGTCATGTGACCTAGTTTTGGATGACAGGCCTGGGTCCCATATGGCCTGCGTATGAGAGAGGATCCAACCCATGACAGCTGTACAACAGACAAGCTTGCTGTTTTTTTTTCTTCCTCACTCTTCTACTCTTTCTATTTCAATTTCTCTTTTTGTATCCTTCCACTTTTGTATTATCTCATATTTGCTTTCTCCTCCGAGCTCTTTGTCTTCACTCTTACTTCCTTCTGTGCAGCAGTAATCACACACTCTGCTTTTATCTTCCTCCTACTCCTCCTCCTCTCTCTTTCCGCTCTCATCTCTTTAAGAGCCTGTGTCACGTGACCTGACTAACCGTCTTCTCCTGAGGGCAGAAGGAAAGCCCAGAGGCAGCATCCTGACCTGTGTCTTAACTTGCAGGCCTGAATCATTGCCAACGTGACCCAGACTTTGACTCTGCTCTTTTGAAACAAGTTTATCTTTTATCATGCACACATTGGCAAAGGTAGCGACTGATTCATGATTTTTAAATAACAGTGGAGACGAGAGAAAGCATGTCAGGAATTAAAAAAAAAAACAAAAAAAACGTGAGTGTGTTGGAAAAGGTTGATGAGAAACTTCATGAAGCACACCCACAGCAGACTGCAATGTGTTTTTCATATACATCAAACTGACAGTCAGGATCGGTTACACCACAGCACCTAAATGATAACTGTCAACTAAACATGAATGCATTTTAATGCAAACAAAATTTGCTTCTATTGCGAGAACAGCTATTTGATTTGAGTTCTATAGCAATAAATAACCCCTGGAAAAAAACAATAAAAACATGTCTTTCAACTGACAGGAACTCCAGCTCATTCTATTAAACAAGTATATGATAAAAACCCACCCCTTACCTTCTACAGTCACAAAGCAGTAGGTATAGATATCCCTGTCTGTCTCTCTGTTGTTGTTAGTCTGCACCTCTGCCAGCCTGTCACTGTCTCTCACCTTTCAAACGGATCAGTCTGACTGCCCCTATATGTATCTCTCTCCAATTGGGGGACACAGCTGGGTGTGACAGCCAATCAGTGCTGCCCGTCTAGACTGTAATCCCCAAATGGTGGGGGGTGGGTTGGGGGGTGGGCCTCACTCAGGCGAAAAGGGACTGAACAATGACGGGGAGATAGTGAGAGGGGGCGGTGAGAGTCATCCGGATGAGTAGGGATGGAGGGGGAAGAGGGTTGATGGCGGGCGGGGCGGGGGGGGGGATCCCTCACCATATGTTTAGATGTCGAAGGGAAAACTGTTGATGGATTCAATTATGAATGACACCATAAGAACATAGGAGGGGGGTAGGTGTAACAGGCTGTGATACTTAATCTTGGGGGAGCAGTGACTGTGTTGACCCCCCGGGTGGGAAAAGTAGCTGTGTAGAACAACTGGCAGTATAGCATCATAAACAAGGACTACTAAAAGCACCGTGAGAGCAGGAAGTGTTGTTGGAGAATAAGCATATACTGGGAAAACAGGCAAATGTAATGAATAACAATACAACCCCCTACATATTGACTTCTATAGTTAGATGTTGACTTTTCTGAGTCAGGACCCATGTGGCTCTAACAGTGGCCCCTTTTTGTCTATTGGTTGGTCCAACATTTTGGTGCAGACAGAAATTTCTCATGATATGTTGAACAATCATTCCTGTTCCCCAGAGGATGACTTTTACGCTTATGTTTTCACATAGAATCGTCATCGAGTCAAAATTTTTAGTTTGTCCCATAATTTGGTTCATGACCAAAATATATCAAAAAAATTAATGATATTCCCATCAACCTCAGCTGTAGTTTGTGTTTAGGGCTATCTGGCAAAGGTTAACATGCTAACACAGTGAACTAAGATGGTGAGCATGGTAAATATTATACCCACTAAACATCAGCATGTTAGCATTGTTGTTGAGAGTGTGTTAGCATGTTACCATATAGCCTAAAGTACAGCCTAACAGAACCATTAGCAACCCTTTAGACTTATAGTCTTGTTCTAAAATAAATAACTTTGTAAAAAAAAAAAGAACAGTGACACTTTCTTATATACTAGGACCACAACCAATTTTGATTATTTTCTTGGATTAGATTTAATCTATAAAATGTGCCCATCACAATGAATCATAACCCAAGGTGACTGACCAACAGTTTTAAACTTAAATATATTAAAATTACAATGATATGAAAAAAAGAAAAGCAGAAAATCTGTTATTGTGAAAGGCTGGCACCAGAGAATGTTTGGCATTCTTCCTTGATAAATTACTTAATTGATCATCTAAATTGTTGATGATTAATTATCTGTTAACTGACTGTTTCAGCGCTATATAGCCAAAGGCCATTTTTACATCTGCCTGAAAGTACCTTGAAATTTTTCCAATACCGTGCATTATTAACATTAAACCTCTGGGTTAAACACTTTGCTCATCACTAACATATGGCTGAATAGGTGCATGGGGGCGTTAGTAGCCTCTAAGATCAGATAATAAACCCATCAGTGCACATGCTGGGAACAAAAGCCTCTGAGCTTCCCCTTGGCTCGCTAAATTAGGCAGTGAAGGTTCATGTAATTAGCACAATCAGGTTGTCTCTTGTCTTTGTGCCTTCCACATATGGCTGACTTCATTAGCTATAATTGGCTGTGTCCTGGGAGAGGCTGGGAAAGAGCGCATAATTATGGTTTACTTTCCTGTACATCAAAGGTCAACAAGTCTGAAGACAAGATGAGTGTGGATTTGTGTTATTGTCGTTACATCTTCGGATGGAGACGTGTGGCTTCAGTAAAGTTTGTGCAGGGATCAGCTGAGGGATTACCGCACTCTGCGCTGCTGCTGAAATCTGTACCACTTATATGTATTAAATTTGTTTTTGAAATATTATCTCCTAAGCAGACCATTTTCATGCATTCTGAAAGGCCGCACCTGTTTGCACATGCTAACCAAAAACACCCTAATTTAGCACTCACATGCAACTTTTCCATTATCCCCAAAACGCAGGCATTCCTCCTGGTTATTTAAAACACACTGAGTTGTTTACCGGCATTTCTATTCTAAGGCAACATTAATAATTCATATTACGCCCTGGGGAACAAACAGAGGAACAGTAGTAAACTAGAGCCTATTATTCCACCTTAACCATGCCAACTAACTCCAGGCACTCCACGACTGCCATTTCAAGGCTGAACTTTGTGGCCCAAATATGTCAGCCTTTTCAACCTTCATTCTGCCTTCTACTCAGGATGCTGAAAGTGACTTTTAAATAACGTCCCGCGGCAGTTCCTGGTTGAGACACAGATGTTGTTCATCCTGAGATGTCTCACTTTTACAATGTGTGAATCAGCTGAGGGCTTCGTTAGGACAAAGACACAGAGGATGCAGACCGGATGGGACCCACACAAGCACCTTAAGGTCTTAACCAGAAGAAAAGGAGATGAGAAAAAAGAAATGTCTGTCTAATCTAATTTAATAAGAGAACTGGGATGAAACTGGGGCTGCAGGGAATTGCTGTACTGCCCAGAAAGACTGGCATCATTAACCCAGCCTTGTGAAGTTTACTTAAATCTTCTTTTTGAACCAAAGCCTCCAAGTGTTCCAGCCATTTAATCCATCAAGCGTGTATATCTATAAAAAAGATGGTTTTAAAAAAAGCTAGCCAAGTGAAAATCTGCTGAATGAATGAAAGGAAGACAAACAAGGACTGCCCAGATTCTGCCCTTTCAACCCCCCACCCACTTCCTCTTCTTCTTCTTCTGGCTGCAGTGATGCCAGCCAACCAGACATAATTGCCAATTAAGTGCTGAATGCTTCAAAGTTAAAGAACAATGGCTGGCAGTCTTGAATTAATACTGAGTGGAGGCTTATTAAAGAGTTCTGGCCATTTTAATTAAAAAAAAAAAAAAAAAAAAAATCAGTCGATTGGTAATTCTTTATTTTACATCCTCATGTCATGATCCATCTAGTATGAAGATGCGTCCAGAGGCCATTCAATATGCATGCAAGTGAATTAAATACCACAAAGTATAAATAAATCAATGCTTTTCCTCTGCTGTCTGTTGAGATCGAGCTCTCCTCCTTCACTTATGTTGGGAAAAATATCCACTGTGCAAACACACTGAGCTCACAAATCCACACACATGTCCAGACGTGCCTCTCTTCAATGAAGTCATTGTGTGTGTTTTTTTAAGGCATGGATGTGTGCGCATGCATGTTGTGCTCACTCATATACATTAACTGGATTATTAGGTGGAAAATAAAAGCACAAACAAAAATGAAAAACAAGCCACTGCTCTGTTCTGGCGGTAAACTACAGGCTATTCACTGTTGTTGTTTATTTGTTATTGGCTGGAGGGGGGGAGGAAATGGTGAGACCAAGGTTATCAGACCCAAAAGGTCTTCCTGTTTAGAAGGAGCTGGCCAGCAGCAGCAACAGCTATGGTGTACTCCACCCTCCCTCCACCCCTAATTAAAAATGAATGGTGGGCTGTATGGGTCAAGGACAGGACTGGGGGTCTCTGTCCGGGGGGATACAGAGAAGGTCTCTGTGACTTAACTGCTGGACACGCCACAGACTGCTGTGGACAACCCTGGGGTCATGATCGAGAGGGCAATAAAGCTGCGCAGCATTCACTGAAAGAAATGAATTACTGTGCACACAGCAATGAATGCCT